GTCCTTTGAGGGGCTAGTGGTGACTGTGAAGGAACAGTACTATAATTCCAATTCAGGGTGGTGAGGGGCTCGGAGGTGAACTTGAAGATGGTGCTTCAGAATATCTGCTGCCTTTGTCTATCTAAAATGGAAATGATTAAAGGTTTGGATGGTACTAAAGGATCTCTGGTGAATTCTGTAGTGCATCTTGTGGATAATACACACTGCTACTGGGTCAGTGGATGAAAGGAGTTGATGTGGTGCCAATCAAGCGGGCTGCTTTCTCCTGGAGGGTGTCAAGCTTCTCAAGTGTTGTCATAACTGCACTCATCCAGGCAAGTGGGGAGTATTCCATCACACTCCTGACTTGTGCCTTGTAGACAGCTGACAGGTTTTGGGGAGTCAGGAAGTCAGTAAATTCACTGCAAGATTCCCAGCCTCTGACCTGCTCTATTAGCCACTGTATTATATGGAAAGTCTCGTTCAGCTTTTGGAAAGTGGCAACCCCTAGGGGGTTGATAGCGGGAGATTTAGCGATGGCAACACCATTGAATATCAAGAGGCAATGGTTTAATGGTCTTATTGGAGGTGATCATTACCTGGCACTTGTATGGCAGTGTGCTATTCACCACTTTTCAGCCAAAACCCAGATATTGTCCAGGTCTGGCTGCATTTGGATGTAGACTGCTTCACTATTGGATGAGTCGTGAATGGTGCTGAACATGGAGGGAAGGCAATTGATGAAACAGTTGAAGATGATTCAGCGTAGGACAAGGCCTTGATACATTCCTACAGAAATGGCCCAGAGCTGATACTAGTAGGGTGTTGTAACTTTCCTGTTTACTATTTCAACCAGAGAGATTTCCCCAGATTACTGTTAATTGCAGTTTTGCTACGGCTCCTTGACGCCACACTCATCCAAATGTGACCTTGATGTCAAGGGCTGTTACTCTCACCTCACCGGGATGTGGTATTAAGGAGTTCAGTAGGTACAGTAGTAACAGGAAAAGAAATGTTTGCTGCTGAGCAAAAACACAGCAAAATTCCATTATCATAGAATCCTTAGTGTGGAAACAGGCCCTTCGGCCAACAAGTCCACACCAAACCTCAGAGCATCCCACCCAGACCCATTCCCGTATAAACCCACCTAAATCGACACATCCCTGAACACTACAGGCAACGTAGCACGGCCAATCCTGCACATCTTTGGACTGTGGGAGGAAACCGGAGCACCCAGAGGAAACCCATGCAGACATGGGGAGAGTGTGTCTGTGTGGAGTTTGCACAGTCTCCCGAGGGTGGAATTGAACCCAGGTCACTGGCCTGGGAGGCAGCAGTGTTAACCACTGAGCCATCGTGCTGCCATTAAATTCTGTTTAAGGTAACTTCAAAATAGCTTTAAAATCACAACACCAAGCATACTTCAAATAAAATGGAATCTGGATGCCATTAAATTGGCTGTGCAATGCGGAGAAACAGACAAGTATGCATACTTGATTTTTTGGTGATAGTGATGGAATGAAGATCCCAGCTCCAAAAGCCTAATAGCTAAAGCAAAACAGTGTTTATCCCCTCAATTTTGTTCCAGAACACAATGGTCCAAAGTCAGTCAGCAACAAAGCGGCTGTCCTCATTTTGAACTACAGCGCAGAAAAACTGCTCACAAAGATGATGCCCTGTAACATAGATTTCACCTTTGCATCAAACAGGAAATCTGTGGCATCCAGAAGTTGAGATGGCATCAAGGTTAACAGCATTGAAGTAAAAAGCATTGATTGACATATTTTAAGTGAAATATAAATAAAAGCAAAATAAAGATTGGAGCGCACACGAAATTACAGTTGAAGTTAACTACTAAACATGAACCCACAAAAGTCTGTGGATCATTGTAAAAAGAATTAAAATGTTGCTTAAATACAAGATTAACTTTTTTCAGGACCAGAGCACTTGTTAGAAGCAATAGTAGCTCAGTCGGCAGTTAAAAATGCAGTTACATCTCAGTCAAAAAAAAAACTTAAGAATTTCTACAGCCAGGCTAATAATATAAATTAGAGATAGTAGGAACTCCATCCTGGGCCTCCTGCAGTGCCACAACGATGCCACCCGAAGGTTGCAGGAACAGCAACTCATACTCCGCTTGGGAACCCTGCAGCCCAATGGTATCAATGTGGATTTCACAAGTTTCAAAATCTCCCCTCCCCCTACCGCATCCCAAAACCAGTCCAGCTCGTCCCTGCCTCCCTAACCTGTTCTTCCTCCCACCTATCCCCTCCTCCCACCTCAAGCCGCACCTCCATCTCCTACCCACCAACCTCATCCTGCCCCCTTGACCTGTCCGTCCTCCCTGGACTGACCTATCCCCTTCCTAACTCCCCACCTACACTCACCTTTACTGGCTCCATCCTCTTCGACCTGTCTGTTTCCTCTCCACCTATCCTCTCCTCTATCCATCTTCTATCCGCCTCCTACTCTCTCCCTATTTATTTCAGAACCCCCTTCCCCTCCCCCTTTTCTGATGAAGGGTCTAGGCCCGAAACGTCAGCCTCTCTGCTCCTATGATGCTGCTTGGCCTGCTGTGTTCATCCAGCCCTGCACTTTGTTGTCTCTAATAATATAAATTAGATGTTGAGATCAAACTAAGTGATCTAAGATTTCTATTAACAGCCACCTGGAAGGAGCAGGGGAGAAATGACTAACAACTGTAACCCCATGTTTACATGGACAAATATAAATGCAAGAAGTTGCTGTTCACTTTACGTCTGATTGTAAGCGCTGCCATTTGTGTTATTACACCTGCAACATCCAAACTATTAGTTTGAGTGATTCATTTTAAGACTAAGTTAGATACAGTTTAGATAAAGTCTAGCAGTTAAACTTGGTGTATATATGTGACATCCCTTTGCTATTTAAAGCATTTGTAATAATTGTATAACTTAATAATCCAATTTAAGAGACATCATGAATGCATTATGCACTAATCAATACCAGCAATTTCTACATTAGAAATGCATAGTGGCACAGCAAAAAAAAAAAAAATAATAATAATAAATAAATGTAAGGTTTTGTTTAGTGTTACACAACCCACAATTGTATTTTTGGACCAGCTCAAATAGGATACACAAATCAGAGAACAGATTTGGACCTCAAAACAAAGGATCATGATGAAATATCAAGGTCTCCCTCATCTTTGAAATAATACGAACAATCAAATAAAGCTTAACTTTATGTAGTTGCTATTGTGTAGTAGGCTGAATTTTGTCTAGACAAGGAGACCTTTATGTGTTAGACTACAAAAGTGGTTTCTTTCTGTCACACTAGACCAAATGGGCCTTGTGGATGCCCAACAGGAAGAGAGAACGGTGGTTACAAATCTAACAGACTGTTAGCCACAGTTCTTCATCACATTCGAAGGTTCATCATTCAACAAAGTTCATGCCTAAACAATATAGCCACTTGCAGAACTGCTGCACAAATGGCCCAAATCTCTCTTTTTCAGAGAGAGTAAAGACTGGGTTTTCATAACCTGTTCCTACCACAGAATGGAAGGTCAAAGGTGACAACCAATACACAATCAGCTGCTGTCAAAAAACAACCACGTGCACAGAGGAACTGATTACTCAATACCAACAACACAGCATCTAAACATGCCGGTCATTTTACAAGGCTGAAAAACCCTCCCACTCTAAAATGAAATTCAGTCCATCACCACCCAAGAATAACCCCTGCATAGCCTTTAACATTGTAACTCTAGCAAGTTTACAGAAATGGAGTCTTCAGCAGTTACAGTTGAGTGAAGAGAATGACCTACAAAAGATCCCCAACAGCTCAAGGTTGGTTAGCATCTATGGGGATATCAAAGATTTTAAAAAAGTGGTTTACTGCTGAACAATCCTGCCAGCCATGTAGATTGATAAGTACATGGGGGGGGAACACAGATGGAAAGAAACTCAACATCTCAAAGAAACACCTGTAAAGAATACAGCACAAAAAAAAAATTAATCCAAACACCAAATACAAATCTCCCATCTGTCAACTTGTCAAAATTTTGTTTTAAATTTATCCACAGGAGGGGGGGATTTGCTGGCTCATCCAGTATTTATTGCGCAGAGGGCAGTTAAGAGTCAACTACATTGCTGTGGGTCTGGAGTCACATGTAAGCCAGGCCAGGTAAGGATGGCTGTTTCCTTCCCTGAAGGACATTAGTGAACCAAATGGGTTTTTCCTGTCAATCCACAGTGGATTCGTGGTCATCACTGGAGTCTTATGAATTCAACTTCCACCATCTGCCACAGCAGGATTAGAACCTGGGGCCTCAGAACATTACCAAGGGATGAACAGTCCAGCAATAATAACACTAGGCCACCACTTCCCTTTAACAGGTGCTGTGAAGAACTAAATCTTAACACTGGACTTTGAATTCAAAGACACTAGTATTAATCAATAAGGGGTAGAAGACTGTACAGTGAATGTCATGTCATAGGAGTGTTAGGTGTCCCATACACATTTGGAAATCTACAGCCAGGGCCTAAATTTGCACACAACCTTATGCAAGAAAGTTAATCCTGAGCATTCACTCTCAGTTACACTGTGTTTTCGTGTGTATGTGTATCTATTTTAGTGAAAATTTGTCATGCTACAAATACATCACCACTGTCCCCTATCAATATACCCAGTAACAGATGGTACAAATCAGGCAATTTCCTTTATTAGAAAAAAGTGAACACATGATTTTTTTTAAGAATTTACTCAATCACTTCTAATTCCTTATTGAATATCCTCCATCATAACACCATCTGACCTCCAGGCCACTCAATTTCACTGCCAGTGAGGATGAACCAAGGCATGTGACAAATACCGGCATTCCATCAATTTTCAACATACCACATCCACAAGGAATTCAGGACAACACACATACACACACAGAGACAGTGCCTGGGAGCCGCTAACCATACAGGGCTGTGCACACAGCAATGCTGCACCTAGCTGTAACCTAGAGAGGGGAGGGAGATGCGCTAATGTACCTTGTCCAGCTCATCGTGCAGTTCCGCCAGGCTGGGTCTGATGAGTTTCTCTCCGAGCTGAGCCACCGTGTTCCTGTAATGATCGATCCTGGGCACCGCATCGATGGTGTTGTGGCCGAAAGTCCGCAGGTAGTAGGTGTTGCTGTGTGTATCATAGTAATGATGGGTGGTGGTACCAGCTGATTGCAGGCTGCCTTCACTCAGCATGGTGTCACCATTCTGGGGGTAGCCGTTCATCGCCGCCTCGCTGCCTTGCGGTGGCGCCTGTTGTGGGGGAAGCCCGCACCCGGAGCCGGCCGGCTCTTCCCAAGCCGGGTCCACGAAATTCACCCGGAATCTGCCTTTCGCCTCTTCGGCCGCCGCCGTGCCTCCATCTCCCGGGGCTACCCCTTCGCCCCCCCGCTGCTCCTGAACTGGGCTGGGGCCGGGGCCGGGGCCGGGGCTCGGGCTCCGTCCCTTCGGCCCCTCTGCCTCTCCTGTCCCCCCCTCGGTCACCAGGTCGACCTGGAAGCGGCTCTGACTCGCCACGGGACGGAGCGGCACCGCGGGCTCAGAGGGAGCGGCAGGAGGCTGCTCTCCGGCCGGGGAGCTGGGGGAACCGGGCTCCATCCTCACGGTCTGCTCCTGCCCTTGGCCCGCAGCTCAAAACACTATCAATAAAACTAATACAAAATAACAAAAAAAAAAGGGGAACCTCAGACAACAAAAAGAAACCCCCGAGTCAAAAATTCAGTTTAAACAAGAAGGAGGAAAACAGAAGCGACACTGATCCCTCCTCTTTCCTCTGCCTTAGACCTTGTGTAAACTTGATAGCAGCTATTTTTACCGCTCTGTCCCTCTAAACACTGCTGCTCACTCACAATGATAGAGGGGCCACTCCCAAAGCCCCCACATTCATGGAAATGAGCTCCCTGCCGGAGCTCTGTCTTTATATTTTTTTCCCCCCCCTTCCCTGTGTTTCTCAGTAACTGCAACCCTCTAACAATCTCTTTTTCTCCCCCCCCCCCCTACCTCTTTATCTCTCACATCCCTGAGCGGCCTCAGCTGTTATAAGTCGGCGCTGAGCTCCTATTGGAGGCTGCACAGTGCGGAGGGAGGGTGAGGGGTGTCACTGATGAATATACACACACAAAACCCAACAGTTAGCTCCACACAGCACTGAGCAGGGTAGGGCGCAGCTTAAACATCGCGAGAGACACACACCGACACAAAAAGGCTGTTGATGGTTTCAGTATTAAATACGTTCTTCCCCAGTCTCTACCAAATGCAGAGGAGGCTATGTGTGCGAAAGGCTGCGGACGCTGGCAATGTGAGACAGGGCAGGAAGAGAGTTTAGTGTGTTTTTTTTAAGGGTAAAGGAAGAGAAATGAGTCAATTGCTTAAAGGATCATGTGTTAAACCTTCTTTCGAAATACTCTATTTACGTGGGATTGTATTTCAAGGTAAGTGGGGAGGGCAGAGCCGAAAGGTGTCCCCTTTTTAGCCCGGGGTTGGGGAGATCTTTAAAGGAAAACGTCTTGAACAAAAGTGTGAGAAAGGAAAACAGGCTGATGATCTGACATGCACAGCACGTCAATCGACATCTGTTCAGGAGGGAAAAGAGAGACTGCGAGTTTTTGGGGCTTTGCAGATAGGCCACGCGTATGCATGAGGTGACTGTGGGCTTCACGAAAGACTTAGATGGCGTGACGTTATCAAACGTGGATAATGCAGATAGCTAAATGAGACAAAAGTATTTACAAATAGGGGGAAAAAAGTTTAAAAAGCACAAGCAGAGGGAATAAGAGAACGGGAGATAAAGGGAGAGAATGAAAGAGAAATAGGAAACAGTAACAGCGAATTGGAAATTGCAAAGAACTGAAGCGAAATTCGGTACAACGGCCAGTCCTAAGAACCGCGTAGAAAGGTCATGCTAGAGATATTTTTTAACCATTTCAAAGATGTTATGGCACACCTCGCGAGCAGCTGGGACTTGAATCTGGGCCTCCCAGCTCAGAATAAGGATATTACCACTGCAGCACAAGATCCTCAGGTCATGCCATAATTAAGACTGGTGCCAGTGCTGTCCCCTGCTTAAAGGGTCTCTAGAATCATAGAATCCTTACAGTGTGCAAGGAGGCCATTCAGCCCATTGAGTCCACACCAACCCTCCAACAAGCATCCCATCCAGATCCAGCCTCCTACCCTATTCCCCATAATTCCACTTAACCTACACATTCCTGGCCACTATGGGCAATTTAGCATGGCCAATCCAACTATCTTGCACGTTTTTGGACTGTGGGAGGAAGCCAGAGCACCCAACAGAAACCCAAACGGACACGGAGAATTTACAAACTCCACACAGACATTTGACCGAGGGAGGAATTGAACCTGGATCCCTGGCGCTGTGAGGCAGCAGTGCTAACCACTGACCCTTGGGGAAAGGAAGGCATGTTGTCCTCCATCTCAAATTTCGACATGCCACCTTCTTACTTGCATTGATAAACCCAACCCCATCCCTATTTCTGTGAAGAAAACAGGGTAAAGCTAAGGTATGAAATCAATGACATTAATTTTCACATCAGAGGGTGCAGCACGCTCCAAAGAAAGATGATACACCTTCACACCGATCTTGAATAGAATAGTCAGAGTCAAACGGCATGGAAACAGACCCTTCAGTCCAACTCGTCCATGTTGACCAAGTTTCCCAAACTAAATTAGTCCCATTTGGCTCATGCCCGTCTAGAAATTTCTCATTCTTGCACTTATCAAAATGTCTTTTAAATTTAGTAACTGTACCTGCATCTAAGATTGAAAAGCCAAAACAGAATTGGGAATGGGAATTAATGTAGCAAATCACCAGGGAGTTACATTTGTTTTTAGATGCTGTTCTGGCACAGCTATAGTGTCGGCCTTACCCAGCAATGTGGAAATTTACCAAGGTGTCTCTTGTCCACAAAAGGTTTTGTTTCTTTTCTATATCCTTTCATGGAATGTGGGCATTGCTGGCTAGACCACTATTTGTTGCCCATCTCCAGTTGCCCTTGAACATAGAGATTTCCCAGCCATTTCAAGAGGACAGGTAAACAGTGAATCATATGGCCATAGGTAGAGAGTCACATGTGGGTTAGACCAAGAAAGAGTCTCTTGAAACAGCATTAATGAACCAGATTGGTCCTTACAACAACTGATTCTAGTTTTGTTGTCACCATAACTAAGACTAGCTTTTATTTCCAGATATATTGATTGAATTCAGATTTCACCAGATACTCTGGTGAGATTTAAGCTCATGCCTCCAGACCATCACCCTGGGCATCTGGATTACTAGCCCAGTGACATGACTGCTATGCCACCATAAGACCATACACATTGGAACAGGAATCAACAGTTCAGCCCCTTAAGCCTGTTCTGCCATTCAATAGAATCATGGCTGATCCGACATTCCTCACATCCAGTTTTCCGTGTGCTCCCCCTAACGCTTAAATCCCCGGCTGATCAAGAATCTATCTCAGCCTTAAATATACTCAAGGACTCTGCCCCACAGCTCTCTGTGGCAAGGAGTTTCAAAGCTTCACAGTGCCCTGAGAGAAGGAATTCCTCCTCATCTCAGTCTTAAATTGGTACCTCTTCATTCTGAGATTATGCCCTCTAGATCTAGACTCTTCCACTATATCTGCTTTCCGACTCCCTACCCAACATCCCCCCACCCCCACCCAAGTCTTTCCTTGATCATCAGTAAGATAAGGAAAGGGGTCATCGACAATGCTATCAAGCAGCATTTGCAAAATGGTAGCCTGTAAATCAGTGCTCATCTTGGATTCTTCCAGGGCTACTCAGCTCCAGATCTCATTACAGGCTTGTTTCAAACATGGGCAGAAGAGGGGAGGTGAGAGCTACTGCCTTTGACATCAAAGCCACAGTTCATCAAGTGTGACATCAAGGACCCTGAGCAAAACCTCATTAGGAATCAGGGTCAAAACAATCCAGGACGAGCAATCCATTTGGGACTAATCAAATCCACCACCTTAAATGTTCACTGCCTTCAGCATTGTTACACAGTGGCAGCAATATGTACTATCTGTAAGATGCGCAGTAATCTACCAATGTTCATTCCATTTTACCTTGCAAACACGTAACCTCTGCCACCTGGAAGGACAAAGTCAAAGGTTACATAAGAACATCACCTGTAAGTTCCCCTCTAATCCACAGAACAGCCTAATTTGAAATTATATCTCCATTCTTTCACATTCGGTTAGTCAAAATCCTGGAACTTCCTAGCAGTGCTGGGGGTGTAAATCCATCCCAAAGACTACAGAAGTTCAAGAAGACTGCTCACTACCACCTGCTCTTGGGCAAGTAGGGATGGGCAACAAATGCAGGCCCAGCAAGTGATCCCGACATCCCATGAATGAATATAAAAAAAGTAGAAGCAGAAATTGGAAACAGTCAGTGGATTGGGCAGCATATGTGGAGAAAAAAAGGCAACTTTGTAGATCCATGGGTTTTCTGTCAGAACTGAACTGTTTGGTTCCCATTAAATCAGAGTGTGCAACATTGCGTTACTCACCTGTTTTCCTCCCCCAATCTCACAATAAGAAACACACACTGATTGGAAGAAATACTTGAGAATAGGTATCCAAAATAGAAACATTATTAGGTCCGCTAGCATTCGTGTTTTGAGAGAAGTGAATAGAGATTGCATCTTTTACTGAAGAAAAAAGCTGGAGATCTTTACAAAAGAGAAGACTGGAAAGTGGCTGGATAGAGGTCCATAACATTATGAAGGGGTTCAAAGGGGTAAAAATTTAACCATTTGTGGTATTATTTAAAGCTAGGAACTCTAAGTATATGATTGTTGTTAATACAACTGATAAATAATTCAGGAAAAACATCTTGACTGAGTTGTGGTTAGAGTATGGAACAGGAGATAGCAAGAACTGCAGATGCTGGAGTCGGAGTCAGAGTCAATACAATGTGGAGCTGGAGGAACACAACAGGTCAAGCAGCATCAGAGGAGCAGGAGAGTCCAGTTTCTGGTTTACACCCTTCATCAGGACTGGGGAGGGGGAAGGGAGCTCAGAAATAAATAGAGGGAGGGGTGGGGCTATGGGAAGGTAGGTGGGATAGTGATAGGTGAATGCAGGTAGGGGGTAGTGGTGATTGGTCAGTGGGAAGGGTGGGGCAAATAGTTGAGAAAGAAGGTGGACAGGTAGTGTCAGGCCAAGGAGGGGGGGACGAGAGGGAGGGTTGAACTTGCAGGCCAGGGATGGGGAGATTTTAAAACTGTTGAATTCTACATTGAGGCCATTGGGCTGTAGGCTCCCAAGGCAGAATATGAAGTGTTACTCCTCCAGTTTGTGTGTGGTGTCATTGTGACACTGGAGGAGGGCCAGGATGGACATGTCACTCAGGGAGTGGGAGGGGGAGTTAAAATGGTTAGTGACCGGAAGGTGTTGTTAATTATCGCGAACAGAGCACAGGTGCTCCACAAATTGGTCACTGAGTCTGCGTTTGGTCTCACCGATGTAGAGGAGGCCCTATTGGGAGCAAAGGATACAGTAGACCAGGTTGGAGGATATACAGGTGCACCCCTATCAGATATGGAACGTTTGTCTTGGGCCTTGGATGGAAGTGAGGGAGAAGGTGTAGGGGCAGGTGTAGCACTTTCTGCGGTTGCAGGGAAAGGTGCCTGGTATGGTGAGGTGATGGGGAGTGTGCAGCGGATGAGGGAGTCGCAGAGTGAGTGGTCCCTATGACAGGCAGATAGGGGTGGGGAGGGAAATATCTCTTTGGTCGTGGGGTTGGATTGTAGGTGGCGGAATTGGTGGAGGATGATGTGCTGGTTGCGGAGGTTGGTGGGATGGTATGTGGGGGGGGGGGGGGGGGGGTGGTGTCTGTCTTTATTTTTGTTAGGGGAAGGGGGTTTGAGAGCAGACGTGCTAGAAATGTAAGAGCTGTGGTTGAGGGCATTATGAATCAACAGAGAGGGGAAGTTGAGGTCCTTGAAGTAGGAAGACATCTGGGATGTTCGGGAGTGGAATGCTCCATCCTGGGAGCAGATGTGGCAGAGTCGGAGGAATTAGGAGTAGGGGATCACATTCTTGCAGGAGGGTGGGTGAGACGAGGTGTAGTCCAGGTAACTATGGGAGTCAGTTGGTTTGAAATAGATGCTGGTGTTGAGGCGGTTACCAGAGATGGAGACGGAGAGGTCCAGGAAGGGGAGGGTGGTGTTGGAAATGGTCCCGGTGAATTTGAGGTTGGGGTGAAGTAAAGTTGATGAACAGTTCAAGCTCCTCATGGGAGCACAAGGCAGCACTGAAACAGTTATCAATGTAGCAGAGGAAGAGGTGGGGGATGGTGCCAGCAGGCATAGCTCGGACCTATACGGATGCCACCATAAGGAATAGTCAAGATAATTAAATATAGAACATAGTGTCTGTGCTGACCATGATTCTGTACTAAACTAATCCCATCTGCCTGCAACATGGTCCATATCCCTTTATCCCCTGCCTCTTCATGTGTCTGTCTAAATGCCTCTTAAACTTTGCTATCATATCTATTTAACACGATGCTAGATAAGCGCAAGAGGGGGAAAGGAATAGAAAGATAAAAAATGAGAGGAGGCTCATGGAACATTACAGCATAGATCTAATGAACCATAAACATCCTTTTGTACTGTAAATGCTACATAGTAGGTCTTGTGCAATATGCTGCAACTGCGTGAGAAGTTACAGCAGATGGTTAGCTAGACGTAAAATGAACAAGAAGCTATGGAAGGAAATCCAGAAAGTAAGGAGGAGAAGAAGGTGCAAATCTGACTTGTAGTGGGTTTTTTTAGGTGCTGGTAGTGGCTGGAGATACCCTGGTAGAGTGGAAGGTAAAGATAAAGAATATCTTGTTACTATAATGAGTAAAGGGCTTATAGGAATAAGGTGATTCATCCAGTTCAGAGCAAAAACACCAAGATAGTCATCAGTATTGTAGCAGCCTCCTGGCTGGTAAAACACAGATAGATTTCTAACTTGGCAAAACAGCAAGGGATGCTGGGTACATTGGCCAAGTAAAATCCTGAAATCACAAAACCTAGATTGTACAAACACAGCAGCCAGGTGCTAATGACATTAAGATAGTGTAAAATGCGACAGCTATCCTAGACAGACATATCCCCAACAATTTATCCACTAAACAAAGGAGGTGCCAGACAGAAAAGCACCAGGTTCTGCTACACAAAGAACCAAACTGTTGCAAGCCACCCAAATGATTGCCAGTATTTGAAACCATTACGCGAGTCTGCCTACTGGGACAGAACTGTAGAAAGTTCATGAGAGCCAGCCAAAAAAGTATAAAAGCAGGTTCACCTACAGACCAATCTTTTGGACTTTCTGGAGACCCTCCAACGAGACCAGCATGGCAAAAGGCAGAGACCAGCTGATCATCCAGACAGAGAGAGAGAGAGAAAGAAAGAAAGCAGCTTTGCCCGAATAGCTATTGAATGAAGAGGTCATTGGACTGAACATTGATTCTGCTTTGTCTGTAAGGACGATGCCAGACCTGCTAAGTTTCTGCAGGAATTTCTATTTCAGATTTCCAGCATCTGCAGTTCTTTGTTCATTATCATAGACTTTGATGGAATGCATATAACATTGACACAGTTCAATTCGAAGCTCTCTGCTAAGGTGTCTCACATGGGCAAGTATTTGGTTCTCACTGCTGTTTGATTCTCAGAAAAGAGACTGTTGTTAGCTCTGATGTCTGTCACCTGATTAAATATTCCTGGGGAAGCAATCATTTCCTTCAGCCTCCATGGAATAAATGAGACATTTGTGGTGACAATGTATAGAAGACTTAATAATTACAAGATTTCAAACCAGTCCAGACACCAGATACAGATGAATCAAGGACCAGCAGAATGAAGATAAAACATATTTTTATATATCTGGAATTACAGCAGAAGACAAAGTCGGGACAGCAAAGCAACAGGTGAATGAATTCCAGAAATCTTCAAAGATCATTTAAGTGGTTGCTACAAGTGTGACGAAAAGTACCATAATACAACACTCTAACACAGTGTAGAGCTGGATGAACACAGCAGGTCAGGCAGCATCAGAGGAGCAGGAAAGCTGATGTTTTGGGTCGGGTCCCTTCTTCAGACCTGGGGAGGGGTAAGGGAGCTGGGAAATAAATAGAGAAAGGAGGGGTGGGTCTGGGGGAAAGTAGTGGGATGGCGATAGATGGATGCAGGTAGGGGGTAATGGGGATTGGTCAGTGGGATGGGTGGGGCGGATAGGTGGGGAAGAAGGTGGACAGGTTGTATCGGGTCAAGGAGGCGGGGATGAGCGAGAGGTTCGGACGTGGGATGACACTGGGGTGGGGAGATTTTAAAACTGGTGAATTCCATGTTCAGGCCATCGGGCTGTAAGATCCCGAGGTGGAATATGAGGTGCTGCTCTGGTGTGGCGACATTGTGACACTGGAGGAGGCCCAGGATGAACATGTTAGCCAGGGAGTGGGAGGGGGAGTTAAAATGGTTGGTGACTGGAAGGTCTTATTGTTTGTCACGTACAGAGCACAGATGCGCCACGAAATGATCCCCGAGTCTGCATTTGGGCTCACAGATGTAGAGGAGGCCACATCGGGAGCAATGGATACAGTAAACCAGGTTGGAGGATGTACAAGTGAACCCCTGTCAGATATGGCAAGTTTGCGTTGGGCCTTGGATGGAGGTGAGGGGGGAGGTGTAGGGGCAGGTGTAGCACTTCCTGCGGTTACAGGGAAAGGTGCCGGGGGTGGTGGGGCTAGTGGTGAGTGTGGAGCGAACAAGCGAGTTGCAGAGTGAGTGGTCCCTACAAAAGGCAGATGGGGTGGGGAAGGAGATATCACGTGGTCATGGGGTCGGATTGCAGGTGCCAGAAGTGGCGGAGAATGATACGCTGGATGCGGAGGTTGGTGGGATGGTAAGTAAGGATCGGGAGCCTCTGTCTTTATGTTTGTTGGGGGCAGGGGGTTTGAGAGCAGAAATGCAAGAGATGTGGTTGAGGGCATTTTTGATCACCGGAGGGGGGATGTTACGGTCCTTGAAATAGGAGTACATCGGGATGTCCAGGAGTGGAATGCTCTATCTTGGGAGCAGATGTGGCAGAGGTGGAGGACTTGGGAGTAAGGGATCACATTCTTGCAGGAAAGTGGGTGAGAGGAAGTGTAGTCGAGGTAACTATGGGAGTCAGTGGGTTTGAAATAGATATCAGTGCTGAGGTGGTTACCAGAGATGGAGACAGAGAGGTCCAAGAAGGGGAGGGAGGTATTGGAGATGGTCCAAGTGAATTTGAGGTTGGTGTGAAAGGTATTAGTAAAGTTGATGAACTGGGAACATGAGGCAGCGCCAGTAGAGTCATCAATGTAAGAGAGGAAGTGTTGGGGGATGGTGCCAGTGTAACAGCAGAAAAGGGACTGTTCCATGTATCCTACGAAGAGGCAGGCTTTAGCTCAGAACCATACAGGTGACCATAGCCACCTCCTTAGTCTGTAAGAAGTGGGAGGAGTTGAAGGAGAAGTTGTTAAGGGTAAGGATGAGTTCGGCCAAGCGGATAAGGTTGTCGCTGGAGGGGGACTGGGTGGGCCTGCGGGACAGGAAGAAGTGGAGGGCTCTTAGGCCTTCTGTGTGGGGATACAAGTATACAGGGATTGGATGTCCATAGTGAAGATGACGTGTTGGGGGCCAGGGAATTGGAATTCTTGGAGGCGGTAGAGGGCATGGGTGGTGTCCCAGATGTAGTTGGGGAGTCCCTGGATCGGGTGGAAAAGACAGAGTCCAAATAAGTGGAGATAAGTTCGATGGGGTAGGAGCAGGCAGAGACAGTGGGTCGGCCAGGGCAGTCAGGTTTGTGGATTTTGGGAAGGAGATAGAAGCAGGCGGTGCAGGGTTGGGGTACGATGAGGTTGGAGTCTGTGGATGGGAGGTTACCTGAGGTGATGACGTTATGAATGGCCTGAGAAATGATGGTTTGATGGTCAGGGGTGGGATCATGATCGAGGGGGCAGTAGGAGGAGGCACCTGGTCTCTATGATATGCAGGTCAGTGTGCCATACCTCTACCATGTCCCCCCCTTATCTGCGGGTTTGATGGTGAGGTTAAGGTTGGAGCGGAGAGCTACACATTCCGTGGGGGAGAGGTTGGATTGAGTGAAATGGGGTGGAGAGGTTAAGGCGATCGATGTCGCGATGACAGCTGGAGATGAAGGGATTGAGGGAGGGTAGGAGACTGTGGAGTGGTGTCCAGGAGGATGAGGTTTGTTGGAGGCAGGAGAAGGGGTCTGTAGAGAGTGGATTAGATTCCATGCCAAAGAAATAGGCGCCAAGGCGGAGGCAATGGGGAAAGAGTTTGACATCCAAACGTGAATGGACCCTGCCAAAACAAAAAGGGTATGTCTTGTGAAATGTGACATGAAGAGGATGAAGATAATTATAAAACTAAAGAAATTAGGCCAGTTAATAGAAATTTCAGGTGTGAAAGGAATATGTTTGTCATGGACTCCTTTTAACTGTCCACCACGAAACAATGCTTATATTTAAACAGGAGGGTTTTATGGTGTTAAATACATGGGACAGTTTGGTTAAGGTGTTACCTTGATTCAGTACTGAGTGAAGAATGGTGTGTGTATATATTTTTTATATATATATACACACACACACACATATATATATATCTAATATATATAAGCTGCATATATTACATATTATTGACCATTTCCCTGTTTTCCATTATCAGTTCCCCAGTCACCTCCTCCAAAGGTCCCATACTGACTTTAACTGCTCACTTTTTATATACCCATAGAAGCTGTTGTTGTTTGTTTTTATATTTCTTGCCAAATTGTTTTCATCATAATTTCCTGCCTTTTTATTAGCTTTTTAGTTATTCATTTCCAGTTCCCAGTCCTCTGGCCACCACTTTAAATGGATTGGATATTGTCCTTGACCACATTTGTTAACCATGGGCGGTTTATCCTTCTCATCAGCTAGAATAAATTTTCACTGAGCATTTTGAAATACCTGTGTAAGCATCTGCAACCATTCATCTACTGACCTTCTCCTTAGTTTATTTTCCGAACTCACTCTAGGCAGCTCTTTCTTTATACATTTCTCTTTAGACCATTATGTAGGAACAGAATTAGACCATGCGGCCCATCATAGCTAATACATTTTTCAACCGCATTCTCCTGTCTCCTCCCTGTAATCCTTGACCCCCTCACTAATCAATAAAATATCTGTCTCTGTCCTAAATACATTCAATGACTTGACCTCCACAGCCTTCTGCAGCAATGTGTTCCACAGATTCATCACCCTCTGCCGGAAGAACTTCCTCCTCATCTCATTTCTAAACGGTCGGCCCTTCACTCTGAGGCTGTGCCTTTGGATCCTGGTTTATCTCAATAGTGGAAACATCTTCCCTATGTCCTCTCTATCCAGGCCTCTGTCCTTACGTAAATTGAAGACACTGGTTTAAGATCTAAGTTACTTTACTTCAAAACAAACTTAACCATGTTATTGCTAACCTCTAGATTACTCTTAATTACAAGATCTCCTATTAATCCTACCTTATTATACATTACCCGATCTAAAACAGCCTGCTCCTGGGTAGGTTATGCAATGTACTGTCCTAAGAAACAATCTCTGTTGCATTCTACAGATTCATCTTCCATGTTACCCTTGCCTATCTGATTTGTCCAGTTAATATGCAGAATAAAATCACCCATGACAATTGTAATGCCCTTCCTATATTCCTCCTTTGTTTCCTGATCTATAATTTGCCTTACAGTGAAGCAACTCTTCAGGGCCCTGTGGACAAATCCCACCCTTGACTTCTTTGCCAAACACCCAAATGGATTCAACATCAGGATCTATTGTACAAAAATTATTATTCACTACTGAACTGACACCATTCTTTATTAACAACTCAGCCCTACTTCCTTTTCCTTTCTTGTAAGTCTTCTGGAACTTTGATTATCCCTGTATATTGATTTCCCAGTTGCATAACTGTGAAACCATGTTTTTTTTAATATTCATTTGTGTGATTAGGACATGGCTGGCTAAGCCAGCATTTATTGCCCATCCCTAATTGCCCAGAGAGCAGTTAAGAGTCAACAACATTGCTGTGGGTCAAGGGTCACATGTAGTCCAGACCAGGTAAGGATGGCAGTTTCCTTCCCTAAAGTATATTGGTGATGGGTTTTTCCCGACAATCAACAATGGGTTCATGGTCATCATTAAACGCTTAATTCCACATTTTTTTATTGAATTCTAATTCCACCATCAGCAGGATTTGAACCCGGGACCCCAGAACATTATCTGAATTGGGAGATTAACCGTCCGCCGACAATACCACTAGGCCATTGCCTCCCCCACATCATCCCCATAATAACTATAAAATCATATTCATTTCTTTATATTTGTGGCATCAACTCCTCTATCATGTTAAAAATGCTGCATGCTTTTAGATAAAGTGCCTTGCATATTGATTATTTAACTATTGTTATTCTGTGTGTAATTTCAGCTACAGCCTTCAACTGATAGTTTCTACCCATTTACACCACTCTTTGATTACTTCCCACACCAACCTTTGAGCCAGACATTCACCTCTCTGATATTATTTACTCAATGCCAACTTGCATGTGGCTCAGGTCATATCAATCAATGGGTTCAAACTGATAAGGTTTATTCCTTGTAATTAATCAGAATTGGTCAAAAAATCTCAGTTGATAGAAGTAACTCAAGGCACCTTATTTCTCGAGTGCTCCTGTGTTTTGTGATGAAGGCCCTGAGGAGCAGAAAATTGCAGTGAACAGCTGGATAGTGGCAATGTAAGTGATGTACAGGACATGGCTATCACATCCAAAGGCCAATTGCCCAGTGTGGACACTCAGGTTATGTACATTCCAGAAAGATCCGAAGAATGGAGGAATTCAGCAATTGTAGGACGTGCAGGAAAAGCTGTTAGCAAGTTCATGGCTAAATATTAAAAATGATAACCAAGAAACAAGTCCTGTGGACCATGACACTGGGAATTTTGACAAGAATAACTCACCTCCAGAGTTGCAAAGCCATTCCATTATCTACAAGGCAGACGTCATGTGTAATGGAGTACTCTCCACTTGTCTGGATGAAGTGACAATAAAAGGAAATTCCATTCTATTCTATTCTGAATGTAAATTGAAAATACTCAAGAAGCTTAACACCATCCAGGACGGAGTACCCTACTTAATGAGGACCTCATTCATCACCTTAAAACACTACAGCAACTTGTTAAAGATCCTGCAAATACACCTTTGATATTTGAGGCTGCTACCATGCTGAATTACAAGGACAGCATGTGATGAATGAGTGGAGAGTATGAAAGCTGAGTGTAAATATTGATGATAACAAGGTGTAGGGCTGGATGAACACAGCAGGCCAAGCAGCATCAGAGGAGCAGGAAAGCTGACGTTTCGGGCCTAGACCCT